AGGGAAAGGGAAAAGGAGCATCCACACCCAAAAGATGTTCCCCAATCCGCCAGGTCATCCTCATCATCTTCTTCTTCCAGCTCCTCCTCTTCTTCCTCATCCTCACCTTCACCGCCACGAGAAAGGAAAGACAAACAACCCTTAGCAGAGAAAGACCAGAGAAGAGACCGAGGGGACGAGAAGAAAGAGGACAGAGAGCAGAAAAGTCGTTCTTCTTCCTCTCAGGGCCCTTCCAGAGACTCATCCCGTGCTCCACCCTCAGGTAGAAAAGGCTCCCAATCAGAGTCCAGGCGCTCTGATGTAACCTCCAGAAGGGCTCCGGCTAGCAGCCAACCAGACACCAAACCGCCGTCACGGGGTCCAAGCAGGAAGCAATCACCACCGGCAGCCCCTCAACTGACAGAGCAAACAGTCAGAAATGAGAGCGCTGTGAATGGCAAGGAGGCAAATGCAAAAAAGAAAGCCAGCAGGAGCACCAGCTCCAGCTCCTCTTCATCCTCTTCATCCTCCTCCTCTTCCTCATCTTCGTCCTCCTCTTCAGATAGTTCTGACTCTGAGGTGGAGCAAGGAAAGGGGTAAGCAGGAGATGGGGAATGAGCATGAGTTACCAAATAGCTATTACAGCATTTCATTTTTTATGATCAAATAAAACAACTGTTCCGCAGATCAATCAGTCACTACACACTAGATATTAACAGTTACCCTGTTTACTATGTTGTTTCCTTTTTAACAGGAAGACAACCAAAGCTCAAAGCTCTCCTTCATCATCATCCTCATCTGAGGATGAAAAGGAAACAAAGAACAAGAGGTAAGAAGAGAAAAAACACTTTCACTTTTATGTGACAGATGTTTGAAGTAAATTCTGTGGTTTGGGTCACAAAAACAGAAAAGGACATATGTTATTTAAATTATTATTTAAAAGAAAAAATGGCTGAGCTGAAATGGTTCAAGGAAGCAAACATGACTTCATTTAATGAATGTGGGAAAAGGAAGCACTTGATTCAAAATAGGACAAAGCTGTGAGGAAGACTAATGTCACCAGCTCTGGTGCTGAGTTTTGAGGATCCTTTGAATTACAGAGTGAAAATACTTATTGATCAAAATCAAATAAGTTTTTATTTATTCTTTTTTTTTTTTAATCTTTTTTGGTGCAAGGCGGAAAAATAAATTAACAGCCAGGATCAGTTCTATGCAGTTGACTTGAAACATTTGTAATTACGACGGATGTTTGTTTTTTTGTTTTTTTCACACATACTTAGTGCATTCAGTAAAGCTGCATAGGTAGTAGTTGTCACTGAACACATGATACTGTTGTTATAGCTGCTATCACGGAACAAAATCTGAATAAAAGTTTGTTTTTATTATGACATTTTTGTTGTACTGACAACATCTCCAACTGTTATTTAAATATCAGTCTTATTTGAGATTTTTGTGAATTGGATGGTTAACTATACTGCGTTGAAACTTTGACACTTGTGTTTTCCTCTCAGCCCCGCCAGGCCTCAGAGGGTGCCGGCTGATTCTCTGAGAGATTCTCGCTCGCTCAGTTATTCTCCTCCAAGGTACATGAGAGCAGCACCGTCCTCACCCAGCCGCAGGTCTGTACCCACAGACCTTTACACTGCAAAGAATGGCAGCGTTAACTAAAAACCTAACTGTACAAATGATGGTGTCAGATAAGTGATAAATGGTGTCTGTCTAAACAGGTGTCATGCAGTGTGTTTAAATGCTTAATTTAACTCTTAGAAGTGTAGACCAATAGCTTTATTATGTCTCTACCTATAAGAGTGACCTTTGCATGGATAAATCGTCTCTAAACATATGACGAGTATATACAGTAGGTCTCACAGTTTGCCACTAACAGACAAGATAAAGTGGTTTCTATAGATCTGAGTCCGGAAATATTCCTTCTTAGTGCTCAAAGTTTTATTTTATGAAATAAAAGTCTTGTTCAAAGCTGAAATGGAATAATGATTTCCGTTTGACATCTCTCTTTGTGTGTGCGTGCATGTGTGCGCGCGTGCTTTCATTTCTTTGTGTCTTAATGGAGTGCACCAAGGTCACAGCCTCCAAGGAGACACTGACTGTGGCCCAGCTGAGACCTACTTTTTATCCTGTGGTGTAGGTTAGCCTGCCACAGTGGACGAATGTCATGTGTCATGAGTCTCATTAAGCAGCTGAAAATCGTTAGCTAGCTAGTTGCATTTACATATGGAAAACTTGTGGTTTGAAACTAATTATCCTCGCCTTTTATCCACGCAAACATATAAATTGTTTTCTAAGTTTATAAAACTTAAACATCTCATCCCACTGAGTCATTTACATACAGCAGATGTACTCTTGTGTGGCTAGCTGTTTGTTGTATGTCTTCTCTTTGTTTAATTACAGTTGTGCTCATAAGTTTACATACCCTGGCAGAATTTGTGATTTTTTGGTCATTTTTCAGAGAATATGAATGATAACACAAAAACCTTTCTTTCACTCATGGTTAGTGGTTGGGTGAAGCCATTTATTATCAAACAACTGTGTTTGCTCTTTTTAAATCATAATGACAACAGAAACTACCCAAATGACCCTGATCAAAAGTTTACATACCCCAGTTCTTAATACCGTGTATTGCCCCCTTTAACATCAATGACAGCTTGAAGTCTTTTACGTATTGAAACTCAGGAATTTACATTTTTTATTTATTATTAGTACATATCTATCTATTTTCTATTAAAGTTTAAACCCTACTGGCAGAATTTGTGATTTTTGGCTCATTTTTCAGAGAATATGATGATAA